GGTGTCTGAACACCCCCCCCCTTCTAACTCGGCTCCTGGGCCACGTAGCGACACGCGGTAAGCGGCAATCGAAAGAACGTCCAAAATAAGGACGAAAACACTTCGGTCATTTTTTGGGTCAGGTCAAAGGTCAGGTCACCAGAGGTCACCAAAGGTCAAATGTCTACTATTTCAATATTTTGGAAACTGCCAACGGCTATCTCGGGAACCGATAGAGCTACAGCGCCGCAGAAAAGCGCATTCGATAGCCCTTTTACAGACCTTTCTGAGTAATGTTCTCAGATTTGACCTCAGTCAACGGTTTAGCCTCCAGGGGGCAAAAACTCCAAAAATAGCCGTTTTTACGAAAAACGTTTTTTCGGCAATAACGTTTGACTCAAAAGAGTCATGACATTACTTTTGCCACCATCGTGTTCCTCTCGTCGAGACGCGTCGAATGAACTATAATTTGACCTTGAAAGGTCAACTTGAAAATTTGACCTCAGGTCAAGGTCATTACCTGACCGCAAAAGGTCATGTTGTTGCATATCAGTCGATCCGCAACGTCGAGCCGAACACATCTAAGGCGTTTTCAGCGCTCTAGCACGTCTCTATCAAAAGTTATTAGCGAAAAACTGTTAGATTCTGTTCGTGACCTGAGATGACCTCGGGGACATAACGAGGGGTCACATTTGCCATTTTCCGGTTCAGTGTGTCCATTTTACCTACATCTCGATGTTTGAGAGTGTCTAGAATAACGTTCGTGCAAAACAGACGCTTTTCAATTTACTCCCATTGACTTATAATGGACAGGTCGCAAAATCGACCTGACCTTAGGTCACCGATATCAAAATTCCGAGATAAACATTTTATAGATATTGTTGCTCTAATCAATCGCTGAAAGTTTCAAGGCAATCGATCAATCGGTGTAGCTATGACGAGCATTCTTATTTTTTCTGAGGTGAGGTCACTTGGCGTGACCTGGTGACCTGACCTAAGGTGACCTGGGTCTGAAATTTTCACAACATGTGCGGAAAAGATGCACGAACAGGTGTGCAAAAAACGGCGGCGCTCCGCGCCGCCGTGTTTGAGATATCTGCGAAAAACCGCAGGGGGGGGGGTGTTCAAACACCCCCCCGGCCCGGCGGCGAGTTACCTAAGTGTGGAACTACCCAGCGCCGAGCCGGCCGGATGACGTCACACCACGGCCAGTGCCGGCGCGGCGGCAGACTGGCCGAGATTGGCATGGTCTTAACCCTCGCCCGTATTGGTGTTTTTCCAGCCGAGAACGTATAAGGGGGGGGGGGGTCCGTTGGACCCCCCCCTTGCCGTTTCGCCCCTGATCGAGCTAGAGCTTCGCGGAAAAAACGAGCGTGTTGCCCGTGACGAGAGGAAGCCGATGATACCTAATTTTAAGGTCCTAGGTCATTGGTTGACCTTGCAGGTCAGGTCAATGACCCAAAAGTCGGGAAAATCGGGACCTGTTAGAACGTCGTAAAGTGTGGCTGCTACGGGGTTTTTCGGGGTGCTGATCACGAATATCATGTTAGTTTTGATCACAGATGATGTCTTCATGCATTTAGTCCGGGTCGGGTCAGGTCAGGTCAGGTCAACCAATAGGGGTCCTGCCGGGTATTCCTAGTAGGTGTCAACCGCCTCTGATAGCTTCGTAACATGTTACGAAGGCACCAAAACTACTTCGTAAATGTTCAAATGGTTGCTAAATTCGAATTCAGCTGCAAAAACTGACCTAGAAACATGTAAAACTCGAAAAAGTGTACCGAGGTCATCAAAGGTCAATGACCTGACTTGACCTTCAGGTGACCTTGACACCCACTCTAACGCATGGGGGCAACATCATATCACATGTTTGAACGCTTGAAACCACGAAAAGACTGCAAACGCGCGGCTAATGCGAGCCGACATACGCCGAATCGCGATTCCGGCCAAACATGGTCTCGAAAAGTAGGTCACAGGTCAAAGGTCATTGGGGTCAGGGTCATGAAATTTTCAGAGTAGATGTAAAATTGATTAACGCGAGGGTACTGAAAGTTTCGTCGCGATCGGCCGCTTTTTACGCGAATTATTCGCGAAAAACCATGGGGGGGGGGTCCGTTCGACCCCCCCCCCCCTATACGGGCGAGGGTTAACTTGGCGAAGAGGTATCAGACGCCAAATCAGACTTCTGCTGCAGCCATTAATCACATTTCATGCGCTTCTTCCATGTGTATGAGCTATCAAGTCCTTCGAATACCTAATGTGTAGGTGAGCGTACCTGCATTTAGCAGTGTGTGCTATGCTATGTGGATGGGCACATCCGACAGTCGACACACTGCGCAATGGATTCCGATATTGCTTGGCTGATTCTGGCTTTGTGTCTTCGAACGAACCATTGAAAGGGAGGACGTCATTTTTAAAGGTTGTTAGGTGCACTCAAACGTTTTAAGATAAGCAACTGCTGATTGAATTTCTGGCGAGGGTTGGTGGAACGCTCTGTTTACAAATGAGTATCTACCTACCTAGTACCTACCTGCAGTGGCAAATAACTGGGTCGCGGTCAGTTAGGCATGATTCACGAAGTCCCTTATCTTTTATTAGACTTATTAAGCCCAATGTGCAACATTTGCGTCTTTTCGCGTTGTATCGGGTAGCAAATGAGAAAATCTGCTTCTTCTCCACAGCCCTCAATTCAGGCCCATGTTGTCCCCTATCTCCCTGCGTGTCCAAGTGCACAGATGACGTCACACGAAGGGGCGGAGTCAGGGGCGGAGCCTGGCGCAACGGCCGCCATATTTGAATTTGTTTTATTAGAATGTATTCTATATTTTAGGTTTCAGTCAATTTTTATCGATAGTTTTATGAACGGTTAGCTGTAATATAAGTGATTTATCAAGAAAAAACACATATTCTGCTTGCAATTTCGATTTAAGTACGACCCGCGCCTAGATTCGAACGCACGATCTTTGGATTACGGCGCAAGCATCCTAACCACTACACTACCGCGGCGGCGTGGCGGCCGGCGGATGGGAGGCGGCGGAGGCATGTGGGCTTTTTTACGCATTTTTGGAAAAACTAATGGGTTTAGTGAAAAACGCTTCTTAGATAATTCGAAGAAAAATGTCTTGGCTTTCCGATGACGCACTTAGTTTTGTGCTAGCTTTAGCAGAGTTTGTTCTACAGCGCTTCAAAAATCGCCCATTTGCATAGGACTTAAACGGGACTTCAGGACTTGCCCCCAGATGACGTCACGAGCTGACGTCACGATCAGGTAGAATCGCCGGACGACCCTACCTGGTATATAGGGCCTTGCCTCAATTCAAGAAACCGCCCTTTTCCTTATCGCATCATTCCAGAACATAATTTTCAAACATGTGTATCTTCCCCACAAAAAAAAACTGAAGCAGTTTCCTTCCGCTCCAATGCGCCGCTCGCCCAGGGAGACGGAAGTGTTATATTCTCGGCGGCCCAGTCTGCATTCTGCAGCACACTCTGGCGGACCCCCAGCACACGACTGAACGATTCGTATTGTTGTGAGTGACTGTGACAATTCACTGGTGGTTTCGGAATAATTAACAGGCGGCGCAGCCCAGTGCCTCTTACAATGAATTACAGTGGCGAATGCACTATTGCAGAGAAGAAATGGATTGAGCAGATGCCCAACCTCGCTGTATTATCAACTAAACATTAGGTACGCTTTACATTTTAATCAGGCAATCATGTAAACAAACGACTTGCGAGTTGCGACCCTTCCGCCTTACATAACTCGGCAGAATGCCCCTGAGTCGGCTAAACTACACTGCATCTCTTCAAACCTTAAGTATTTTACAATTTACCACTCAGCTATGCAACAGGTTTATAATTCACTGCTCAAGTTTCAACCCCTTTTTCCCTATCATCTTTTTGGCACCGTCAATCGCCATCTGGCATCTGGGCTGCCCACTGTCCAGCAAATAATCCGGCCGTCTCCAGTTCTCTGGCAGGGGCTTCCAAACTCAAGCGAACTCGCCGAAGTTTCGCTATTCAATGCGCAGGATCTGTACAATTGAGTTTGAGAGCCTCTGGGTTGGCTCGGCGCGCCTGCGCTGCGCCGTTGGTCCGGCCAAGTACGCGAGTGACGTCATGCTATAAGCGTCATCCCCCGACCAAAGTCACCAATCAGAGCCCTAGAATCGACTTGTAGTTCCACACTTAGGTAACTCGCGGCCCGGCGCGGGCGCTGTCACAATAAACTTCAATCAATTTCCTACAGGTACCCGAAATTTGATGGCCCGGCGAAAAAAGTGGGGGCGTTTAACGCCCAGCAACTGGCGGGTTTGGTCAATGACCCAAAAGGTCGGAAAATCGGGACTGGTTAGAACATCGTAAAGTGTGGCTGCTATGGGGGTTTTCGGGGTGCTGATCACGAATATCATGCTAGTCTGGATCACAGATGATGTCTTTATGCATTTAGGCCAGGTCGAGTCAGTTCAGGTCAGGTCAACCAGTAGGGGTCCTGCCGGGTATTCGTAGTACATGTCAACCGCCTCTGACAGCTTCGTAACATGCTACGAAGGCACCAAAACTACTTCGTAAATGTTCAAATGGTTGCTAAATTCGAATTCAGCTAAAAAAAATTGCCTAGGAACATCTAAAAATCGAAAAAGTGGACCGAGGCCATCCAAGGTCAATGATCTGACCTGACCTTTAGGTGACCTTTTCATCCACTCTTATGCAATGGAAGCAACATCGAATCACATGTTAGAACGCTTGAAACCACGAAAAGACTGCAAACGCGCGGCTAATGCTAGCCGACATACGCTGAATCGCGATTCCGGCCAAACATGGTCTCGAAAAGTAGAGGCCGCCTCCACTGTGTGGAGGGCTTGCGGTCCGTACGGAATTTAAAACAGAAGCCTATGTCAAATTCCGTCTAAATTCCGTCCAACCTTGTCTCTAATGAATATGAGACTATGTCCTGACATCGCAACGCCCACCACTCTTCGCCAAGCTGAACTCTACCAATTACTCTGAACCATTTCCAGACAGACGGTTTCTCCGGTTAGCTGCCGATGGGTGGCCAGGTTTCTTCAGAGCTGCGAGTTGTGAAAGAGGTAAGTACAATGCCTGCATCCAAATATATGCACGTCTGGAGTTTTGCGACATAACAATGCAATAGGTACTTAGTCACTGCCTTGTTCAAATAATCAAATCTTCATTTGGAGAAACCCACGGATGACGGTTTCTGTTTTTGTCTGTGTAGGTACCACAGAGCGGAAATAATATTTTTTTACATATTTGTCAACAGGTTCGTAAAGGAGAAGTGATTTCTGTCGGCTCCATCAAGTATAATAAGAAGAAACTTCTGGGAGAAGGAAGCTTTGGGACGGCTGTTTATCAGTAAGTCATCCCTAATTCGATAGATTTACCTACAAGACAAGACAATCCGCGCACCAGCTCAAAGCACGGGCCACATATGGGCCAGCTTCGCAGCGATGCATAGTCGGTCCGATGCAATATTCCGCACTATATAATCAAGCAGTGGTAAACTCCGCGTCAAACACCAGCCGCTGAGGGTGGGGGGGGGATGATATACCGTGTTGTTCCTCGCTACTTCTTCGACGATTCGGTCCCAATACGGATATATAGAAAAGCACAAAGTTACCACACATATTTCTGAACAATAAGTCGTAGTTACAGGGTGGGGCAGAAAGATTTACCTCTTTGTTTTCAGCCCATAACTCAAAAAGTTTTGGACGGATTTTAGTGAAATTTTGCATGCGGCTTCCCAATTGACTCGTGTATAACTGTTATGAAAACAGCTCGGTGTTGCCATAAAACTGCTAACGATATAATTGAATACCTTAAAAAGACAGGTACAGTGTCGATGAAGTCCATCCCAGGCAGAACAAGGCATGTCCGCACCAAAAAGCTGGTTGATATCGTGCACAAGATGGTGTCTCGAAATCCTAGGCGAAGCAGGCGCAAACTGGCAAGTGGCAAGGGACCTCGATTTTTCGCCCAAAATGATCAGAAGAATCATAAACAACGATTTGGGCATTAAGTAATACATGATGCAACGTCGACACCTGATTTCAGCCGCATCCAAGGAAAAGTGGCTACACAGGGCCCAAAAGATATTGGAGGAAATCAGAAGCGCCGGTAACAAGGTCTTCCTCTGATCCGATGAAAAGATTCCCACGGTTGAGCCCCAGATGAACTCCCAAAGCGACATAACCTTGGCAGATGGTACATCCAGTATTGATCCTGCTATCCGGACCAGTTTTGGTCGCCACAACCCTGCTGGTGTCATGGTTTGAGCTGCCGTCGCATCCGACGGCTCAAAAGGACCCTTGATCTTCATCGAGGCGGGTGTGAAAGTCAACTCACACGTTTATGTCCATCAGCTGGAGGAACATGCTCTGCCTTGGGTCAGTCAGTCGTTCCGAGACGGATACGTCGTCGTCCAGGACGTTGCGTCGTCTCACACGGCCAACTTCACTCAACAGTGGTGCAAGACCCACATGCCTGGGTCCTGGGACAAGGTCATGTGGCCACCATCAAGTCCAGACCTGAGCCCGATGGACTTCACCACCTGAGCCATCCTGGAGAGGGAGATGTGTGCAACACCACACAGCAGCATCGCCGCTCTGAAGCTGGCCCTCGACACGGCACGGTCGAATTTCGACGAGGACACCGTGCGGCGCTCGTGCCACTCCGCAGGTGGAGGTTTCGGGGCAGGGGTGAAGACCAAAGGTGGCCATATTGGTTCATAGTGCTGTTGCTGAGATGTGTACGTGCTACTGAATATGTGTACCAAAAATCATTTGAATATCTGTTCTGGTCTGTAATATTTTAAAAAATCAAGAGGTAAATCTTTCTGCCCCACCCTGTAGTGTCAGAAGTTCGTGTCGATCCCATTAACCCGCGCCCTGCTGGGGGGGGGGGGGGGGGGCAGATTCTGCCCCCATCCCGGATTTTCGTGACAACTCCAAAACCGTTGCAGATATCGCTACGAAATTTAGGGTACCTTATCCTACATCAATTTGACATCGACTGTGCAAGTTTCATCGAAATCCCTTTGAGAAGTTTTGAAAAACTGGCGTTTTTGTGACGTCACTTCATGCCATTTTTGGTCAAAATTGTCTAAATGTTTATAAATTCACAAAAATTACATTTGTGAAGCAAACCTCGCGAAAAAGCTAGCAAATATGTAAAATAAAGCGCGCTACCAAACGGCTATTTTAGATTTTCAAAATTTTGAGCTTTGACTCCAATTTTTTTAAATCTTCTTTTTTTAGAAAAAAAACTATAAAAAACCAAAGGTTTTTTTTGAATTTTCAAAAAGCCGCAGTACCTATATGTTATGAAGACCAGTATTTGCTATGCTCATACCAAATTTTGAGACAATCCGTCAATTTTTGGTCACAGAATGGCCAAAAAACCGCCAAAACAACACATGACAAAATTTTTGATTGCTAATTTTGGAAGTTATCGACCACCTACGACAACAAAAATACCACTGTTGGATTCTCTATCAAAATCTGAATCAGATAGACACCAATTTTGTTTGAAAAGACCAATTTCGAAATTTGACCTAGTTTGACCTGACTTGGCCTGACCTAGACCTGAATTTCGTCCAAAGATGATCAAAATCATTTAGTGAGTATCGCCATTGCATTCTATGGGCAAAATGACCCGTAAAACATGTGTCGCACATAGTCCGTTCAGTGGCTACATTGTGATGACCTTTGTTGACCTGACCTGACCTTGACCTTGAACTTTGCATGGCGCTTTAGGTAAAGGACATCGTCTTCCTACCCTAAGGATGCGTTCTGGGTGAGCGCCTTCAATCGCCTCTTCACCAACGGGGCTCAGACGCCAATGCTGTGAAAACCTGTCATTTTGACCTTTGACCTGACTTTGACCTGACTTTTGACCTACTTAAGTAAAATTTTTGGTGCTCTTAAGATCGGCCTCGTTGAGACCTTTTGTTTGCCGCTTTCCCTGTCTCTCTACGACCCTCCGTTCGGAAGTTAGGCAGAGGGGGCAGAATCGCCCCCCCCCCCCCAGCGGGGCGCGTAGTGCTGAATACCCCAGCGGGGCGCGGGTTAACACCCGAGCCCTCGACCAACAAAAAGACGTATGCGCGTTACGAGTGGTACGACATGCTGCCATTTGAATAAGCATTAGGGTCGTAATGAAAGTATGTCATACATTTGAAGTCACATAATCCTCCTTGTCCATTTTCGTTCGCCCTATGACTAAAGTTCAGGGAAGGCCAAATCGTACCGATATACGATTAAACCGCGCGGGCCAGGGGGGACGTTTCCGAGTTCCGACCCCTGGCGAATATTGGCGATAGCTCCCGAACACATAGGAATAGGAAAACGAAACTTCCAATACCTTTTCTCCCATCAATTTGACATCTTCTGTAGTAAAAAATGGACCTAGCCCCTTTGATGACGTCACATGGTTGATTTTTCTAGACTCCTATATCCTGCAAGTATGAATAAAAATTACGAACACAGTTGTGTAGCGTTTGACCCAGAAAAAAAAGAGAAAGTACTTTTGGTGACCTTAGGTTAGATGTCAGGTCAACGACCCTTAGCCTGGGGTCTGAGTTTTTTTTCGCAAATAACTTCAGCAAAAATGGTCATAGAGCCACAACAGTGGTAAGTACCATAACATTTGCCTTGTCAAGCCGCGTCGAATGATAAATATTTTGTTTGAAAACGATCAGGTTTTATGTTTACCTCATTGACTTCGAATGACCTTTGATTTACCTTGACACATGAAAGGTCCTTCATGATGGATTCGTAGCCGCTGATCACGCATTTAACATCTATTTTCCTCTAAGCATTCATTTAGAGCTTCCGGATGACAAAATTGTGAAATAGCCTCTAGCAAGGATACTCTTCCGTGACCTTGACCTTGGAGCAGCCTTTTATCGTAATATGAACCACATAAAGGGACCTGATAAGCCTCAAAACATTTTAAAACATCTTGGAATTTAGTACGCAAGATGTTAAAAAAGTGAAGTTTGAGGTCAATTTTTAGCATGACCTTGACCTTACCCTTTAATTTTGAGTACATTTCCGAATTCCTCCGTTTCTCTTTTTTCCGTTTCATACCCATCTTTAGCCAGTTTTATGCATCCTGCCGTCCTCTTGAACGCTTGCTTTGAGATCACTACACATTTGCCGGTTTTACCATTTGACCTTGACATATGAGGTTAAAAATTTTAGGTGCTTTAGAATCGTTTAGCGGAGACCTTTTGTTTGGTACCGCTTTTGTTTCCGTAGTTCCTTTTTAAGGAGTTAGACAGGGAGTGTTTTTGGAGAGAGAGAGAGAGAGAGAGAGAGAGAGAGAGAGAGAGAGAGAGAGAGAGAGAGAGAGAGAGAGAGAGAGAGAGAGAGAGAGAGAGAGAGAGAGAGAGACAGACAGACAGACAGACAGACAGACAGACAGACAGACAGACAGACAGACAGACAGACAGACAGACAGACAGACAGACAGACAGACAGACAGAGACAGAGAGAAGTGTGACATGTCCCAAAAACCACAGGGGGAGGGGTGTTCACCCCCCACCCCACCCTTCCAGCAGGGCGCGGGTTAACCCTATTAGTGGCAGGGGGGTTGTTTTCATCCACCCCTCAGGTTTTTCTGGAATATCTCCAGAACGGCTGGAGATAGGATGCTGAAATTTTATGACTTTTCCTAAAACTAAACGGGGCATGTTCCCTGAAAATTTCAAGTTGATAACTGTAACAGGGGCGGTTCCAGGGCACCGGGAATTGGAGGTCCTGTTCGTAAAGTGAGTCTTTTGGATGAACATTACGATGCTGATGCATTATAGTTGTTTACACCAGTTTTGCAAACAGCGACTGAAGCATATCATGTGAAAACATATACACAGTGATTGTGCATGTTCTTTTTATACATTTTCCTGTAATAGGCGGATCCAGGTATCCAAAAAAGGGGTGTCAAGTAGATGCGCACTTTACCATCTGATGAGCGATTTGGTAGTATTTATATTGCCAGGGAGCGATCGAATTCGCCATATCAGGTTTTTATTCCCAAAAATCATAGGCGCGTCCAGGTGCTGAATATTGGGGAGTAATTACAGACAGTGATTGTTTGCTTCTTGGAGCATGACGTTCGGTAGGTAAAAGGTATGTCACCCCTATCTTCTTTCCTGGAACCGCCTCTGACACATACACAACCATATATTTACTCGTCGACACATTTATGGCGACGCATACGATTCAACAAGGCATAAGGTAGCTATCTAGCACCGATTCATCGTAATGTTTCACAATACAGCATTGGTTATGTTTCACCTCCCAACATCGGTGCCCTGACGCCGCCTATGCATGACTAATATAATTTTAGTTATGTTATCTCACATCATTGTAACACAACAAGACCATTGCCAACCCCCTTTAGAAACAGTACAAACAAAAACCTTATTTATTATGCTTTTTGTGTACTCCCTAATTCAGTGACCTGTATCCGCCTATGATTTTTCACAATGCTTATTTTTAGGATACATGTGAATTTCTGGTCCATTCTGCATCGATCGGTAAAAGTTGTGTCAAAAATGGTTGAGAAACTTGGCCGTGATAAACGATCAAAAAAGCATCTTCAATTTGCCATTTTTACCCCCTGCTACCCCCTATTTATATTTTTGAATTTTTCTCTTCTTTGAAATGTAGATCACGTTGAGTGAAATCGAATGCCGTTTGAATTTTGTAAATCGGTCCGTTAGATCTCGAGATATCAAGGGGGGGGGGGTCGTAAACAGCCACCCTTGCCACTAATAGGGGTAGCCAGGAGCCTGCCACTAATAGGGTTAAAAAACGAACTCCATGCAGCTTGTGCAACCTGTTTTTGGCATTTCCATGCGATATCGCTTCCTCATCTAGCCGGTAATATGGTTAAATATGTCCCTTTTGTCTGGAAGTAGTGACACTATGGATGTTTTTGCACACAGGGGACAGTGCGGAAGGCGGGAAAATGTGGCAGTGAAACGTATACTCTACATCGATGAAAAGCAAGAAGACTTCATTGAAAAAGAAATCAGACACCTTCAAAAACTAGAAGAAGATGGCATCAATGTCATCAGGTAAGATTGCAAGTTCCAAAAATGTTCATCACGAATTGCCTGGCGATTTGTGACACATAGCACATGCGAAATAAAAAAGTCATACAACTATAACTTCGTCCATGGAGGTCGATTTCTGTCCAGTTGCGGGTGCCCGAGCTCTCCACACTCCACGGCGGATTTGCAGTGCTCGGACACCTCCATCTCAGCAGAATCGACACTCATGCTCATAACCCGGCACCGTCTGGGCTATTTCCGTATCCACGACAGCCTGGAGGGGGGGGGGGGATCCGACCTGCTAACTCGAGAACCAATGGTCGTATCGAGCCCCGCGAGGCGGCGTTCGAAAGGTCTCTACGAGACCTTCCCAAACCATTCTTAACCCTCGCCGGCACAGGGGGGGTTGATGTAACCCCCCCTAAGGTTTTTCGCGAGTAACTCGCGTAAAAAGCGGCCGATCGCGACTAAACTTTTAGTACCCTCGCATTGATCAATTTTACACCTACCCTGAAAATTTCATGACCCTGACCCAAATGACCTTTGACCTTTGACCTATTTTCCGAGACCATGTTTGGCCGGAATCGCGATTCGGCGTATGTCGGCTCGCATTAGCCGCGCGTTTGCAGTCTTTTGGTGGTTTCAAGCGTTCAGACATGTGATTTGATGTTGCTCCCATGCATTAGGGTGGGTGTCAAGGTCACCGGAAGGTCAGTTCAGGTCATTGACCTTTGATGACCTTGGTTCACTTTTTCGAGTTTTACATGTTTCTAGGCTAGTTTTTTGAGCTGAATTCGAATTTAGCAACCATTTGAACATTTGCGATGTAAATTTGGTGCCTTCGTAACATGTTACGAAGCTGTCAGAGGCGATTGCCACCTACTATGAATACCCGGCAAAACCCTGACTGGTTGACCTGACCTGACCTGACCTGACCTGGCCTAAATGCATAAAGACATCATCTGTGATCAAAACTGACATGATATTCGTGATCAGCACCCCGAAAAACCCCATGGCAGCCACACTTTACGACGTTCTAACAGGTCCCGATTTTCCCGACTTTTGAGTCATTGACCTAACCTGGAAGGTCAATCAATGACCTAGGACCTTAAAATCGGGTATCTTCGGCTTCCTCTCGTGACGGGCAACACGCTCGTTTTTTTTCCGCGAAGCTCTAGCTCGATCAGGGGCGAAACGCGAGGGGGGGGGGGTCGTACTATTGCTTCCAAATTAAAGGTAGTGTGCCACCTTCCAATGATTTCCCATTTTATTTTTCCTAGGATAAGAAGCTTCTGTTTTTACCTAATATCGCAAAAAAAAATCAAAAATGGGCCTGGAATAGTGCCTTTTTTGCCTAAAAGTTTATCGGTTTTTCGATATGTCTAACAACTGTAGTGGGCTGACGTGTAAACAGGCGTCGGCAACAATCGCGAATGCGGCGCACATGTGACAATAAGCAAAGGTCATTATAGAGTTACGACGTACGGGAATGAGTTATCAGCTGTCTAATCGTAGACAACGCAAGTGGAACTTAAACTGTAAGCCTGTATTGGTATTGTTTCTTTAATTTGGCTGTCGGACATTAATTTGTGGTTTGAAATATGATTTTATGTAAAAATAATTGATATGAAACAGCCGTCTCTTAAGTTATGACCCCATTTCACCACACGCAAGTGGCAGAAATGACAATGATCAGCTGACGCATTTTTCTTGGCCGAAGTCAGAGCGCGCGGCCCGACGCACCACGCGTATTTGGAAATTCCGACCTCGACGAGCATCAAGAAGCCACCTAACAGGCGTGTTCGAAACCGCAGGAGATGATGATGAACGGGTTTATCGAAACTTGATTGGATGAGCCTATCGGTAATAGCGATTTTAGTGTGTGCATTTATTGTTCATAGTGGTGTGAAATGTGGTTGGGGTACGACCGACAACCCGTCGGGGCGAATTTCGCACTGGGGTACTCAAAATTTGAAGAATTTAAGACGTTTCCATGAGTTTTGAAGGTATGGATAAGTTCTAAAAATCCGGTTCTCCTTATCCGGGTCATTAACTCCATATGGTCCAAGAAAGCTGGTACACTACCTTTAAGCTTGATTCGCGTCTGGCTCTAGTACTGCATTGAATACCCTCCCGAGCCCCTCCCGTATCGCCAGGGTAGCTGTCCCGGTGAGGTGCGTGTCAGACTGAAGCAGTGCGTCGACCTTGTGACTGTCAGTCCGCGCCTGGGGCGGGGACACGGGTGTGACCTGTGATAATGGCGGGCACGTGAGCGTGACGCATAGCTGACCCATTCTATCCAATCAGGGACGATGAGAGCGCCACAGTGCAGTGGTCAGGCCGATGACCGGGGGAGCGCTGCACACTGGGCCGATCGCCAGGTCTAGCACGACATGGGTAAAAAAATCGATTTTTGTGGATGTGCAATGAAACCTATACCAATTTGTTCAAAAATGATAATACTACATTGCTGTGGTCTTTGTTGTCCAACACAATTGCTATTTCATGGCGAAAACTCAGCTTAAACACGAACTTCGGAATCGTTTGGACCGAACTCGTCCCCCGCGCTCTTCGACAACGTATCTTTGATCCACGAAAACAATCACAATTTGAGGAGGATTTCCACATTTATATACATCAAACGATAGCTCCGGGTCTGCAAAACACACATAACCACATGAAAATGGCGAACTCTTACTTGGTTATGATGTATTGGCACCGCAAAGATTTAAAGACGAAAATATAATTTCACATAATTGATGTCACACACAAATAGACTTTTAAAAAAAGTACCGCGGATTACCGCTTCGAAAATCTCGCTACATGTCAATGATTCATTGCACTACAAGATCCAACAGTCATTTTTTGCGACTTTTTGCGACTTTGGATGTAGTAGCCAAACATCAACCCGCGCCGGACCGGTGCTCGGCGTCAAACGCGCCGGGCTGGGAGATGTTGATTGAACACTCCCCTTCTAATTCGGCTCTTGGGCCACATAGCGACACGTAGTAAGTGGCATTCGAAAGAGCGCCCGAAATTCCAGATGGAGTATTTAGTCATTTCTAGGTCAGGTCAAAGGTCACGTCACCAGAGGTCATCAAAGGTAAAATGTTGCATATATCAACATTTCTCGAAAACCGGCCCTTACCTCGGGGACCAATAGAGCTACATCGTCGCGGAAAAATGCATTCAATTGCTCTTTTAGCGGTCTTTCTGAAATAAGCCCTCACATTTGGCTTAACCCTCGCCCCTAGTGGTGTTTTTCCAGCCGCGAACGTATAGAAGGGGTCCGTTGGACCCCCCCCCCCGCCGTTTCGCCCCTGATAGAGCTAGAGCTTCGCGGAAAAGACGAGCGTGTTGCCCGTGACAAGAGGAAGCTGATGATACCCAATTGTAAGGTCCTAGGTCATTGGTTGACCTTCCAGGCCAGGTCAATGACCCAAAAGTCGGGAAAATCGGGACCTGTTAGAACGTCGTAAAGGGTGGCTGCTATGAGTTTTTTGGGTGCTGATCACGAATATAATGTTATTTACGATCATAGATGATGTCTTCATACATTTAGGCCAGGTCGGGTCAGGTCAGGTCAGGTCAACCAGTAAGGGTTTTGCCGGGTATTTGCAGTAGGTGGCAACCGCCTCTGACAGCTTTGTAACATGTTACGAAGGCACCAAAGCTACATAGTAAATGTTCAAATGGTTGCTAGATTCGAATTCAGCTCCAAAAACTAGCCTAGAAACATGTAAAACTCGAAAAAGTGAACCAAGGTCATTAAAGGTCAATGACCTTACCTTACCTTCTGGTGACCTTGATACCCACCCTAATGCATGGGAGCAACATAATAATCCCATATTTGAACGCTTTAAACCAAGAAAAGACTGCAAACCCGCGGCTAATGCGAGCCCGACATACGCTGAATCGCGATTCCGGTCAAACATGGTCTCGAAGGAAGGTCACAGGTCAAAGATCATTAAGGTCAGGGTCATGAAATTTTCAGGTTAACTGTAAAAGTAGTTATCGCGAGGGTACTGAAAGTTTCGTTGCGATCGGCCTCTTTTTACGCGAATTACTCGCGAAAAACCAAGGGTTCCGTTCGAAGATTCAGGCCCCGTCGCGCTAGAATGGCATATCGGCCCACTGTGCGCTGGTTGGGCTTGTTGCGGGCTAGAAAAATAGGGGTGGGGTGGGGGGGGGGAGGGGTGCGACGTGGTTGGCGCCGAGCACTTGCCTGGCGCGGGTAAATAATTATCTGATAAATATTTATAATATATGTTACGATTATATTGGCATTATTGTTTTAAATAAACCTGTGGTTATGATTATTAAACGCAATATTAAAACTAGCGCAGTCAAAGCACCCCGCAGCAGAGCAAAAAAAAAAAACATCAGACACCGTCCAGGCCCGGGCCGGGGTCGGATCACTTCCCTCGCCTTACAGCGACTTCTGTTTCGACCGTTGGGTCTCGCCCGCCGGCCACATGTGCCCTTGACCTTTGACCTACGATGCGTGTCCTGGCTGAATTCCGTTCCGATCGCGCGTCCAGCTGCACCACGGTTGCGGCCGCGCGGCCCGTCTCTCGCCGGGCGCTGCGCCCGAGCCCCGGGTAATGCCTCTGACGCCAGAGGCGCCCGAGGCCAAAATCGCCGATCGCTGGCCGACCACAGGTCACGTCCGCACCCCTACCCGCGCGTTTGAAACTCCCGGATGTCACAAGGCCCCGGATGTTTAACCTCTGGCCTACCGTGCACGGCTCGCCGAGCCGGGTATCTCGGTAAAACTCGGGCTTCGGTAGGGTATTCACTACAGTACTGGAGCGAAGTGAGGATCAACCTTAATTTGGAAGCAATAATACCAACCCCCCCCCCCTTGTGCCGTCGAAGGACGCGAAATGGCCTGTGCCGGCGATGGTTAAGATTCTAAGATTGAGGTCAACTTTCGGGTCAAGGCCAGGTCAAAGGTCAAATTCTAAGGTTTTGCATGATGAGGCTTACGGGCAGCGGAATCGATAGCTCTTGCTTAAAACTCA